TGTTAGAATAGATTTGTTAGAGAGAAGGTAATTCAGTGGTGTCAGTTTAGGACTTTTCTGGCCTTGGTGCCAAGCTCTTTTTTTTTTTTTTTTTTTTTATCTCTGAGCTAATTAAAAATCATTTAAAAATCCTTTTCAGAGGCTATTGCTTGGAAGTGGTGAAGGTAACATGGGAAGTGCAGTGTCCCAAGGTTCATTCGTTCATTGCTCAATAGCCCAAGTCCTGCCAGCATCGATGTGGCCACTGGTTCCCTGTTAGTGATACCTCAAGTGCTGCCTGCCCAGAGAGGTGGATATCTTAACTTCTTGGATCCTGGCAGAAGATGCGGAGTCACGTCGGATGCTGGCAGTCATTTCGGCAAACACTGATAATGAGCTTGAGCTGAGGGATGCATCATGGAAGCGTCGTGTTCAGAAACCTGCTTTCAGCATCAGTCATGCTGTGGTGTTACTTGTGGAGTCTCTACGATGTCATTGCAAACTTCTTTAGAGCTCTTGAGAAGGTTACACTGAGCAGGTAACACTGAGGTAACAAAGAATTTATCGTTCTACATCTCCACAAAGCTTGAGCCTAAATGCAGTTGGTATTTAAAATAGATATTTAAATGCTAAAATGACATTAAGAAATGATTTTGTTTCATCAAGCTATAGCTCCTACCCAGTCACTGCCCCGAATATGGTAGAAGCATGCCTTAAATCATTTATTGATAACACATCCTAAAGTGCTGAGGCAGCAGAGATTTTGTGGTTTTATTGCCAGACTTGATGGTCTCAGTAAAACCATTTCCTGGATAATATTGAGTGTGGTGTTTTGTTGCTTCACAGTGACGAAGCAGTCCATATGTGCTTAATGAGAAGGCTTTTTATAGGAAATCCTTTTTAATGTTCAGTTACTCAATCTGTAACATCCCACCTGGTGACCATAGCTAGTGATAACTCCAGCTTAGAGCGATGGGGCTCTTGAGGATCTGGGTTTTTGTTTGTTTCGTCTCTGACAGGAGAGGAACTGCAAAGGCAGTCAAGGTTGGGGTGCCCAAATGCAAACGGAGAAACCGTTTTGGCAAATGGCTTAAATAGAATAAATATTTGTGGAAATTTGTGTTTTCTCAGTTAGGTAAATGTTTATTGCAAGCAATGAAAAATTCTTTTGGGATCTGGAAAAGCAGGTCACCCAACTGTAACTAGCCATCTGTCTTTAACAAAATATTAAAATATTAGCAAAAAGAAGTCTACAGGCTTTGCGTGTATTTGGTTAAATGTCGACACTTTCACAGATAAATGTATGCTCTACAGGTTTTAAGAACAGGTTTTAATTTTAGAAGAGAAAGAAAAATACATTCTGTGAATTGGACTGCCATGCCCAAATTAGTGTATATGTTGGGCTGTTGAAGGCAAAATTATTTCATTCTTAGTTGTTTCTTTTTAGGAATCTCCCAAATATGACAGTTATTCAAGTTACTCTGCTTGAAAATACTATTCATGCAGGCAGAGAATTACTTTACCTCTAATACTGATATGTTTTGTTTTTTAGAGCTTTACCACCTGTTTCTGTAATAGAAGAATCTTTTTATTAATAGAAAGTGGGAAAAAAAGTCCTAGAATCTAAAATACTTTCATATGCGCCATTTTTACTACTTGTTCTGTAATTCCGCAAAACTTAAATGTAAATTCAGTTTTGCTGATAAAACTGACACCTGTCTTGTCAAGCCATAAGGAATGTCTGGATGCTTGCCTCTCTGTGAACAAAATCTCTATATTGCTAAGCATATTTGGCTTGTTAATGCACATACTTAAAATAACCCAAAATTTTGGATCCTGTTGTTTTAACAAGTGATATTTTTTGCCATCTGTTTTATGGATAAGTTTTTACACTTGTTCAGATACTCAAATTTAAAGTCATGACATTAAAATAACCTCTTTAGATCTAGGTCTATTACTGATTTATTATTATTATTATTATTATTATGGATAGAAATTTAACATTCAAAGTATACTCTAAAGACTTGTTTTGAAAAGTGCAGGCTTTATTAGGTATTTGTTGTGTCCTTTTCTGGTTCTGGTTCATTTGAAGATTTTCACGGTTGATTACTTACAATTCACTTGGAAAAAACTGTCTTTACCCCTCTCATCAAACTCAAGGAAATTCTGCCTTCTGAATGGATTTCAGTGTGATGCTAAATAAGGACTATTTTGACATCTCTTTTAAGCAAAAAAATAAAGGCTCGTGAGGAAGGTTTCTACCTGTCTTTGTGACACAGCTCTTGGTAGAGGGTGGTCCAGATGCCAAGTGGCGGAAGCTCCTACTGATAGCTTTTCTTCTATGCCTGCCAGCAAAGAGGAGAATTTACCTTTTAATGTGTTCTTTCTTATTTCTTTTTATTCCTTTTCCTTTCCTCTCTTCTGTGTATATGCTAAATCACCAAATGAGAAAGTGGAGAGGATGCTAAAAACTGCGTTTGGAAAAGAATCCTCTGCACTAGTCTTACTAGTGGAAATGTGTTCTTTTTTTTTTTTTTTTTTTTTAAAAAAACCCGCAACAGAACACTTTCTTGAAATTATTTCAAATGCGGGTCCCAATTTAAAATCTTCTTTAATCCGATGCTTGCAGATAAAAGTTAGAAGCAGCATAAGTACTGCATCGTAGCGATGTGCTACTTCCAGCGTAAATGTAACCTTTTCCTAAAATCTAGGAAAGGTGTTAGTGCTTAGATATTACTTTTTGTCTGTAGCGCAGAGCATACTTTAGCTTTATTCCTGTAATAGTATATAGACTGTGAGTCAGTGATTGCCTAAAGCTGAATAGCAGATACAGTGAAATTCTGAAAACGTCTTTTTTTAGTGTGCTGTGTCTGACTTGACTACAGCTTGATAGTCTGCATGCCTGCAATAGCTCCAAAGCTTGATGTGTGTCTCGTGTATTCCCACGATTTTCGCAGAATCCCAGAATGGTTGAGGTTGGAAGGGACCTCTAGAGATATCTAGTCCAACTCCCCTGCTCAGACAGGGACACCTAGAGCACGGGGCACAGAGTTGGATCCGGGTGGGATTTGAAGACTACACAACCTCCCTGGGCAGCCTGTTCCAGGGCTCTATCACCCTCACAAGAAAGAAGTTCTTCCTCACATGGAGATGGAACTTCCTGTGTTTCAGCTTGTTCAACCATTACCCCTTATCTTGTCACTGGCCACCACTGAGAAGAGCTTGGCCTCCTCCTCCCTACATTCACTCCTCAAGAACTTATACATATTAATCAGATCCCCTCTCAACCTTCTCTTCTCCAGGCTAAGTAGGCCCAGCTCACTCAGTCTCTCCTGAGAAAAGTGAGAGCCCAGAACTGTGCCCAGTGCTCCAGGTACAGCCTCACCAGAGCTGAGGAGAGGGGCATGATCACCTCCCTTGACCTGCTGGCAACACTCCTCCTGATGCAGGCCTAGATCCCATTGGCCTTCTTGGCCACGAGGGCACTGCTGACTAATGGTTAACTTGGTGTCAACCAGGACTCCCAGGTCCGTCTCTGTGGAGCTGCTTTCCAGCAGGTCAACTCCAAATCTGTGCTGGTGCCTGGGGTCATTCTTCCCTAGGTGCAGGACCCTACACTTGTCCTTGTTGAACCTCATAAGGTTCCTCTCTGCCCAACTCTCCAGCCTGTCCAGGTCCTTCTGGATGGCAGCACAGCCCTCTGGAGTGTCAGCCATTCCGCCCAGCTTGGTGTCATCTGCAAACTTGCTCAGGGTGCACTCTGTGCCCTCGTCCAAGTCATTGATGAACAGGTTGAACAGCACCGGACCCAGTATGGACCCCTGAGGGCACCACTGGCCACAGGCCTCCAAGTGGACTCGGCCCCATTTATCACCACCCTCTGAGCTCTGCCATCCAGCCAGTTCTCAATCCACCTCACCGTGCACTCGTCTAGTCCACTCTCCCAGAGCTTCCGTATGAGGATAGTATGGGAGACGGTGTCAAAAGCCTTGCTGAAGTCAAGGTAGGCAACATCCAGGGCTCTCCCCTCGTCCAGCTGGCCAGTCACCCATCATAGAAGCTATGAGGTTCGTCAGATATGACTTCCCCTTGGTGAATCCATGCTGACTGCTCCTGATCACTTTCTTGACATGCCTAGAGATGCTCTCTAGGATGAGCTGCTCCATCACCTTTCCGGGGACGGCGGTGAGGCTGACCAGCCTGTAGTTTCCCAGCTCCTCCCTCTTGCCCTTTTTGAAGACTGCAGTGACTCTATTTTCTTCCAGTCCTCCAGCACCTCCCCTACTCTCCATGACCTCTCGAAGATGAGCAACAATTCCTGCCAGTTCCCTCAGCACCCTTGGGTGCATCCCATCTGGGCCCATAGATTTGTGGGTGCCCAGTTTGCCTAAATAATCCGTAGCCCAGTGTGCCTTGACCGGCAGAGTCATCCTCTCTCCCGGTTATCTTGGCTACTTACATTTTTGGTCCAACAAGTCCAAAAGGATGAAATATCTGCAATTGTAAAAGGTGAAACTTAATTAAACTGTAAGGGTAGAACTTCATATTTCCATCTTTTTTTTTTTTAATGATTTTTGGTACGTTAGCTTTAATTCATAGAAATGGGACTGGATATCACTTAATGGAATCAACATTTGTCTGGTACATCAGAATTGTGACAATAGGTAAGAGTAGAATGAGTGGATTTTGAAATCCTGCGGTTAAACTTTTTTTGATCCTGCACTGAGTATATTTGGTTATTTGATTGGCGTTTTTTTTCTCTTAAAATGTCTCTTGCTTAATACTTGCTTAATATTGAAAACTTAATTTTTTTGGTAAGGGTATATTTAAGTCCTAGTAAAAATGATGATGCTTTTGGCTTCCTCTTTCCATTATATTTTACAGAGTGATACACTAACTTTGTAACATGATATTAAAATAAGAAAATTTTTTTGCAGGTGTATAAGCATGATTCAAAATCAAGTCATATACTATTGGTGTTATTTGCCAATGTAGTTAACTGCATTTTGTTCTTTTGACAGAAACCATAGCCCGTTAATGAGTTTCGGAGCCAGTTTTGTCAGTTTTTTGGTGAGTAGATGCAGGGAGTATTTTTTTTTTTTTCACTTTTAGTTAATCTCTGTTCATGAACGTGCTCACAGTGCTGGATACTCTGAATTTGCATTATGAGACTTATTTTTTTCAAAGTTTTAAGTACAGCTAGAAAACAGATGATTGTTAAATAAAACATGTTTGCTCATGTGGTTTAAATAGAAAGCAAAGACTCTGTGATTCAGCTCTTAAATGTATGAAATAACTGCCTTCCATTAAAAGAGCCAGAAGAGCACTTTCATGAATGATCAGTAGATATGGCATTAAAATAACACTCATAAATAGCTTTTCCTAAATAGCTGTTAGTATTCCTCAGCAATACGACAGGATGAAGCTTGTTAATACTAGGTCCATTCATGCTACTGCATTTAAATATATGAGAGCTGAGAATATTAACTGATTTAAAGAGTCATAATGAAAGCAGGTTAGTTCTTCTAAGTGCTTTCATAGGAAAAATGAAGAAGGCTTGTAATTACCCCTCTTCCTCCCTCTCTCCCAAACAGAGACAACAAACATTGATGCATGGGGAAAATATTCAGATCTTATTCTGGTTGTTGCTGCTTAATCTTAATGTTGCCCCAGAAGTTCTGTATGGCAGTACCCTCCTTAAATCAGCGTCCAGTGTAATGCGCTGGAGTTTGACACATGCCAAGTTAAATTGCCCCCTTTCTGCAGTGCAGTGCAGGTGGGTGCGCTGGTTGGGAAGGGGGAGCAGGACGAGGAGGAGGAAGAGGATGAAGAGGAGGAGCAGGAGGGCAGGAGGCTGCCTCCAGATGGCTGTGCCGAGGTGGCAGCCCTGCGGCTGGAGCAGCCTCCGCTTAGGCGTGGTTCTAAAGAACCACGTGTGGTTCTTTAGGAAAGGACACGTGTGGCGTGTCTTGCAGTGCAGTAGTAGTTAATTATTTCCTGATTGTGCAGGTCCATTACCTATGCAGAAGTATTGAATAAAAGTGGTATCTGCATGGATGTAAATCATGCCTTGCATCTATGAAAGGATTTTTTTTGATGTAGAATGACAGTGAATTAATTTGCATATTATGTTAAGTGCAGAGGATGGGACTTAGTTATATACTCTGATTTCAGGCTTTTGATGTTTTGGAAAGGCATTCTTAAATCTCTGTTTTTGTTGTTCTTTGTAAAAGTACATGTACTGCTGTGTGTGTATGTATAAAATGTGATTTTAAAAAAAAAGTAGTAGCAATTTTCTTGCTAAACTTATAGAAGAACTGCTTTCCTGTAACGTTTGTAGGAATGAGAGGTCTATGTTTCTGATTTTTATCATTCAAATTTATTTTCTGTTTTTTGAAGAATGCTATGATGACATTTGAAGAAGAGAAAATGCAACTGGCATGTGATGACTTAAAGGCTACGGAAAAACTTTGTGAGAGTGAAGAAGCTGGAGTTATTGAAACGATCAAAAATAAAATTAAAAAGAACGTAAGAGCATTATTTGTGACATATGGAATCGTGTATTGGAAAAAATATTTTGGAAAATCTTCTTTCTGCCCTCTTGGTGTTTTGACTAGATGATTTTGGTATGTGCAGAACAGTCGTGATTGAAAACTAACTCCAGTAAAATATTTTGCTTACATTTCTGAGCTATATATCCTGTCTATAATAAGACAGATTCAAGCAGTTCCTCTTCTAAAGCAGTAGATTCCTTAATACTGCTAATACTTTTCTTAACACCACAAACTAGTGATCTATTAGAATTAGTAAGGATTAATTAAAAGTTTCTGAAAACTTTTACCCTGGCTAATTAGGGTCATTTTAATTTATATATGCTGTAGCAATGTTCGGAAGTCACGAGACTGCATTGTGCTACGTGCCAGGCAAATTCTTAGGGAATACTTCTTCCTCTTTTAGAATTTCCTTCTAAATAATCAATGAAGAATAATGGATGCAGACAAGGAGATAGTCAAAACAGTGGTGGCATAAAAATGTTGAGTGATTTTTTTTTTTTTTTTTTTTCCCTCAGCATGACCCAGTAGCTCTACAGCAGAAAAATGAAAAATTGTTTCTCCGTGATATTTAGTGTTCTTGACGGAAAGTTGAACGTACCTGCAATGTCATGACATGACATACTTAATTGCATGCTCTTAAGAGGCACTGGGTTTTTCTTGCCGCTTGCCATATGGTCCTTCTTGTGTTTCTCCTAACACATTTGCTTCGTATTTAATGAATATACTAATAACTATATGGTGTTTAAATGCATTCAGAGTGTTTGCACAATCTTAAAAACAAAACAGCAAACTGAGCGGATGTATATAAGCTTCCTATGCTTAGGAAGTAGGAACTTGCTTGAGGTGTATCAGAGAATTTTTTTTTTATGATTTCATACAAATTTTTCAGCCACTTTAGGTCAAAGAAGTAGTAGTTGGAAATTAAAAATACCAGCAGTTACAATAGAAAAAAAAAATAGTAATTCATCTGTATTAAATGTTGCACCAAGTATTTCAGTTTGATGTTAAAATAACTTCTTTTCCTTCTGCTCTGTTTGTGCATTTCGTACAGGTCGATGGACGAAAATCCACTGTATCCATGATTGATCGACTACAAAGACAAATAATTGTAGCTGACTGTCAAGTCTACTTGGCTGTGCTGTCCTTTGTAAAACAGGAATTATCAGGTGTGCTATGGTTTTAATGTTTATTGTTGTTGCATGATGTTTGTGTAGTAAAGCTTGATAGTAAAGTGGCACAGTGGCTGTTGATGTCAGTAAAGATGATTCTTTTATAAGAAAAACTCATTTCCATTTGAAACAAGGGGTAGATTTTCCAAGATCCTCATGCTTGCAGCAATATTATTCTACCTCTGTGTACACAGAAGAATCATAGGGTGGATTGCTACAAACCACAGCTTTCCACTTTCTGCATGCCTGTAACCATATCCAGCTGCTGCTTCTTAGGCTGGAATTCTTTTCATGTTCCTAGAGAGGCATTGTAGGAGGAGTACAAAGATGGGTAGCATCAGTACCTCACGTGGCCTGCAAGATAAAAAAGGTATCCAGGTATCTACAGCTGAAGCCTGGTGCTCCTAGGTGGAATGTGGGTGGCAACTTGGAGATGTGTTAGAGGTGGATGAGCCAAATCCATTCATGTTCTCCGGTCATCTCAGTGTGGCCTTGCCTGTCAAGGAGGTTAATGGTAATTTGTGGAAGACAAACCATTTTGTCTCAGCTGCAGAGCTGCTTTTGCAAGTTTCTTTTGTGTTACTGGTTTTGCATAATGTAGAAGCATTCCTTCAGCCATGAGTTCATCTAAAAAGTAGTCAAGGTCAAGTGCTACAGAAGCCTGTTCTCAAATAATGCTACTGTTAATAAAGGCCAAGAGGTGGCAGTCAGAGCAGATGGCCAGTGGAAACTCCTCTCATCAGCTGCGAGGAACCAAGGGAGTAATACCCAGATTATCATGAAAATAACGCTAAGATCTTCGATCACAAGCTTAACGCTTCCTGTGTGATACGCAGCCTTGGTTTCTCCTCAGCTAGGACATAAGGAATGCACTTGGTTCTAGTTAGCAGGAACACAGGGAGTGTTTTTTGCCTGCTCTATGTCAGCTGCTGCGTTACAGCTTGCAAAGCAGCTATGGAGCCTGGTGTCTTGTCCTCTTTTTTCTTGTGTGCTGCTCTGCGAGCTAAGTGGTTCGCAGAGAACTGCAGAACATGCAGCAATCTGATGTCCAAGAAGTTGAAGGCCTCTCTTGTGACTGTTGCAGCCTTTGTGGCACCATTTTGCCCTAGTGTTTGGTCTCTTATTTTAGTAAATTTTTTGACCGCCTTGCTTTTCTGAATCTATATAAACATCTTGTTTTTGTGATCACATTACTGTACAGAAATAGCAACTGAATCTTGAAATGAGTGCCATTTCAAATAACTGCGTTCTTCAGAGGCAGATTTTTACTGAGAAGAGGATGGGTAGAAAAATCTTTTTTATTTATTTATTTTTTTCTTTCCAGAACACCTGGGCAAGAAGCACATGACAGTGCACAAATTGCTTTCTTATAGGATTTTTTAATAGCAGAGTCAACATTAAACACATTTTAGATTTTTTTTTCTCCACTCTCATGAATGTAGAGCAATAGCTTTATCATGATCCTTTGTAGGATTAAAAAAAAGTATGTTTTTGCTTATTATTTGTCTATTGCATTGCTTTAATGTGGTTGCATGAGCATTCATCCTGTGGTGAGCCACATAACTCTAAAATACTTTGTGGAGCTGAAAAGTGACCTAATTGCTGCAAATTTAAGTAACATTAGCTTTCTACTAAAGCTGAATCATGGCAGGGGTTTGCATTTTTTATTACAGCTGGTAGCTGAATGCTCTGTTGCATTTGCTATTAATTTTTTAAATAGCTTTTGCTCATGTTGGCGGCAAGTTTAACCCTTCTGCCACAACAGGGAATACAATTTTTGTAGTTTCTGTAGTTTTTTTTTTTTTTTTTTTTTAACCCAGCACATGTGTTTTGTTTTCTCATCCTTGTTCTGACACTGATTATGATTACTGGTTATGACACTGATTTCTGCAAAGTGATGTTTTTAGAAGACTTGCCAATATCCACACTTTTTAGTGTTTTTTATTTTTCATCTTTTTAACTGCTTTATTACTGCAGTTCCTAACTCTCCCAAGATTCTAGCACAAAATGCTGTTGTCTGCATTTAACAGTTAATTTGTTAATCATATTCCTCATTTACTTTTTGCTTAACATTTTCATGCTTGTCCAAAGAGGTGCCGTAACCAAGGTGGCTACTGCATATACAGGCAATTTGATCATTTGAAATTCATTTTTTGATGTTATGCTGTTTTATTTCAAACCCCCTGCCATCTTCAATGTACTTCTTGTACAATCCTTTTGTAAGCATAGTTCTTGCTTAAACCAACTGAGGATGTTCAAACTCAGATTTTTATAGAATTTTCAACACACTACTTGCATTTAAAATTGAGGCAGTTAAGCATCGGAACATGTTAAACATGTTCCCCATCAAAACATGTTTTGATGTGTTCTTCATTTTGCCCCTGCCTCTCTATTTTTATTTATTTATTTTTAATTTGAACCATTGTATTCAGTTTCATGTTTTTTAACTCAGAGTAACTATGGAAGATCTTACTGTCTGCCTCAAAGGAATATTTTCTTTTAGGTGACTTTTCCCATCCACATTCTTTTAACAACATTTTGGCTTATAAGTAACATTAATTTTTGCTTCTCTCTGCCAGGAAGTAATGCCATCCTCACTCTGCAGCAGAGTGGAATTCAGCCTTAAGTTGCTTTGTTTTTCTCTCTGTTCCTTCACAGCCATCCTGTTGCCACACAGGAGGAGAGACCCAGCTTTGTGCTGCATACTTGTTCAAAGCCCATGGTTGAAAAGCTCTTTATCTTGTGATGCCCAATAGGAGACAAGTGGCTATTGTGGGAAAATTCATTATAGCATTGGTTAATTGTATGGAAGTGAGAGTGCATCCTAGGATTTGTGCAGTACTGTGTTACACTTCTGAATCCTGTCCTTGACATGTTTGGGTTTTCCTTTTTTTTCCCTTTGTCTTTAGCGTACATAAAAGGTGGGTGGATCCTCCGAAAAGCCTGGAAAATTTACAATAAGTGCTATACGGACATTAACACCCTTCAGGAAATTTATCAGAAGAAAACCACTCAGGACTCCTTGACTTCTGATGCTGCAAATGATAATCATATTGCTGCAGAAGGTGTAACGGAGGATTCGCTAAACAGACTGAAAGGTGCTGTTAGCTTTGGATATGGACTTTTTCATCTTTGCATATCCATGGTGCCCCCAAACCTGCTCAAAATCATCAACCTGCTGGGTTTTCCTGGAGACCGCCTACAGGGGCTTTCCTCACTGATGTATGCAAGTGAAAGTAAGGACATGAAGGCCCCTTTAGCTACGTGAGTAGCTATATTGAAATGCTTTGGTAGATAACTTAGTGCTGAAAGTAAGTGAATGGGAAAAAGCAGAACCGAAAAAGTCATGTTGTTTTAAAGAAAACAGCAGCAGGTAAAATAAACATGTAATTCTTTGTTCAAAACATGTAATGTTTTGTTTTGTGCCACGATTTATTAAATTTCTCAGTTGGTAGCCTACAAAATCTCTAATACTGTAGTTAGTTATTGAGATATCTTTTGTGTGAGAGTTGTACTGTATTCCTCAGTAACTGCTGTTGTCTCTAGTAATTTATATGCTGGTGGAGTAAATAAAAGCATCCCATGAGGGCTCAATGGATGTACCTGTGAGTTGTTAAATAGTATAGCCCTTCATGGAGAAGAATGTTGTGGGAGTCATTGACGTCACTTAGTCATTTCTCCTTATTATCAGCCAGTGCTCTTTTTCAGTTTATTTTTAATTTTGGTATCTAAGAATACTGGAGTGTTCTCTTACACAGTCTTTTTGATCTCTTTAGAGGAGCATTCTGTGTGTACTCTTTTTTCCCAAGCTTTCATACTACATTCTGCTCCTTTTATTGAGTGAAGGGAAAGCCAGACTTAATTTAAAGCCATTTATGAAGGCTGTTTATTATTCTCTTCTCCACAGAATAATACTTTTATTACGAATCTCTAGTTAAGTCTTTGCGGTGCCACTTCTGAAACATTGGCTACAGAGGAGCTAAAATCTCCTCTGTGCAAAGAGGAGAGTCAGATTCCGGATTGGTTAAACAGGCTGCAGATTAAATGTGCCTCCTGATAGCCTTTTTTCCCCTTCTGAGGAAATGGGAATGCCCTGGTTTGGGGCTGCTCCCTGCTTTACACGGCCTTGGATGTTTTACTGCTTTGCTCTTCTTTGCAGGAGTGAGATGTCTGCCATTTTGAATGTATTCATACATTAGATGTATTTCTGATCTGAAAATCAGATCTTTTACATGGATGTTGTGTGTTGATAATAGTCCTTTTTTAAAATAATTATTTTTTAAAGTTTTAGTGCAGTTCTTTATTTTTTAATTTTGTAGACTTCTAAATACTGACTTTATCTGGCGAATTGTTGCTGTGAGCTGCGTTCAACTTTGGGCAATGTGCGTTGAAATGTGTGCTCAGGTGCAGGTTAGGAATACACGGATGTCTTATGATAATGTGAAAGAAAAGACTCGTACCCTGCTTTGTTTTGCAGAGCCACTGTAAAACCTGCCTGTCTAGAGCATAAACCTCTGAAATCTTTGCTTATGAGTTATAATCTTTATTCTTCTGTTTCTTGTAGATTAGCTTTGTTGTGGTACCACACGGTTGTTCGTCCCTTTTTTGCTCTTGATGGCAGTGATAACAAAGCAGGATTGAAAGAGGCAAAAGAGATTCTTGCAAAAAAAGAATCTGCTTATCCAAATTCTTCTCTGTTCATGTTCTTCAAGGGAAGGATACAGCGATTAGAGGTACTGCGTGTTTTCCTCCTGACTGATATATTTGTTTTTTCCCCTTGATATTTTATGTTTTGCTGATGTGAACAAACTTTGCAAATTGGTGTAAGGATATAGTTGTACAGAAGGATAAGTAAAGAGAAAGGATTAATGTCTTCCCACTTTCAAGCTCATGTGCCAAATCAGCTCTTCCATTACTTGTGTGTGAATGAGTAACACTTGGAAATTCTTTTTCTGCCGCTTGATATACTTGCAGCTCTGTGCTGAAAGGAAGTACTTTTGGTCACTTAAGAATTTCTTGTGGTATAAATAGCTGTTTCTCTTCTGCTTCGGAAGCTAAAATGTGGATATTCAATCAGTTGAAGACATAACATTTATCTTCCTCCTTTCATTTTGTGCCTTGTACAGCTAATGATCTTCAGTAATTTCCTCGAGTAACTGCTTTTGCCTCTAAGAGGTCAAGCAGGGTTTCTTCTGTTGCTCTAGTGAGCGCTGACTCGAGCAGAACCTGTTCCCTGAAGCTGTTTGGAATCCTGATGCACAGGATTCTTCAATATTCTTCAATAACTGCAGTAGTTTTGTGTTTTCTATCTTTTTCACTGAGACTTTTTTTTAATCTGAGAATCTGCGATAATCTGAAGTGACGATGAGTGCTTCAGACGGCTCTGCTTCTAGCTGCCCCTTTTGTCACATGAGAATATTTACATTAGCAACAACAACAAAAAGCACAGAAACAGCATGTTCAAACCCTGCGCTTTAATATCTCAATTGCAAGCACACATCTTGATAGTGACGCTTATTCTGTGCTTAGTTGCGCAGCTAATTCTCATTTGAAAGCAACGTAATATTTTGATGGAGACAGTAACAGGACACCCAGGCAGCTTTTCCGAATCCCTTCTGTGGCAGACCAGTTTTTGCTGGCATCTTTTTGTAACTTATTTATTTTTATATTGGAAATATTTTAAGGTTCCAGTAGGAACCCCCTTTGGAATGGGCTGTTGCAGTGATGTGTGTCGGGAGTTACCCTGTCACAAGCCAACTGTCACGAGCTGCGAAGCTCTTTGCTCAGGGGGAATGTTTTAAAGCCATTAAAGTTCACTCCTACATGTATTCCGTTCAGCTGAACATGGCAGAAGTTCTCACAGATGAGTTCCAAGTTCTTTGGGAGTAGCTATGTGTAATGAATGCAAGAGTGGTTGAAAATACATGTATGAAGTAAAGCTATAAAATAGAGCTCTGAAGGCTTTAGTTTTTATGTAGTGTCCTTTCGATGTACGCTGTCCCCCTCTAACTTGACATATGTTTTTCTATGTTTTCCCTTATTTCTGAGCTTAGGTCTAAAAGCTTCACAAATTTTTAGTGCTGGGTAAGAACGAGAGACTGTCTTCAGATTTCAGAACAGCTCTGTGGGGAAACCCAGCTTGATTCAGGAGCCTTTACAGTTACTTAGTTGGTACTTTTTGGTGTGCTTTGTCCTTGTTGCTAGTGTGAGAATCATAACATTACATTTCTGGATTTGAGATTTAATAATCCTCTTTATGTAGTTCTTTGTATCACAAGTTTTATGGATTCATACGTCATCTTTTTTTTTTTATTTGTATAATGTCAGAGAAAGGCATGAGTGCTGGCAGTTGGAGGATTTAGAAACCTCTACAGTTTGCAAATTTACATTTCTAAAAAGTTGTATTTGGCAATTCTGAGCCGTTTATAATTCCTTCACTTTGTTCTCTGAACCCTTACATAGTTAGCAGTGTATTTATTTTAAGGATTAACACCAAGTAGAAATTCATATTCCTGCACATTGTCACGGTCCCTAGGGATGATTTAAACTTTACTTATCAAGGAATGATTCTAAAAGGTTTCCTGAGCCTGATTAAGGAAAACTTTTGAAGATCTCAAAGCACTTGGGAGATGTATGAGATTCTGGAGAAAGATTAGGAAAGATGGAATACCAGCCTATGGAGCAGCATGTGGTAGGGTGTCCCGTGTTTCCCCTGCTGTCCAGGATTTGGTAGGTTGCGCAGTGGGAAGGTGATGCCATTGCCCCGGTCATCGTGCAGAGCAGCGTACCCTGCACTAAAGTGATATATAGCGCTCTTTTTGTTGTCGTTTAGAAGTTAGAGAAAGTTCAGGGGAACAAGAGTTTGGCTCTCTTTGTGTTTTTCTCTGAAGCATTTCCAACAGGGTCGCACTGAATTGTGCCCCGTACTCTGGGTGTCCCTGCTGGAGCAGGGGGTTGCACTAGATGGTCTCTAGAGGTCCCTTCCAACCTCAACCATTCAGGGATTCTGTGTGAATTTTGAAACTTCTCAGCTTAGAGCTTCATCTTGGTGCTTCCATCACACTTCCTCTATGCGAGCAGACTCGTACAAGTTGTTTTCCAGGACACGATGCGGCAGTGTTTTTATTACTGAGCGGTAACCCAAGGGTGCTACTGCAGAAGTAGAGGTGCGTGCTGCTCGGGCACCTCGGGCCACACATCACTTTATTTTCTAGATGTGCAGGGTTTAGGTGAGTGTTGCTGTGGTTTCCTTCGGCAGTTGCGCTGTCCTGATGCAGCACGTGGGAGCGATTGTGCGATAGCTTCTTATCAGCTTAAACGGTGTCCTCTGGTGAGACAAGGAAATCAAACCGAATTGCTTCAGAGCTCTCAGACTTAAGAAAAGCTTTCTTGTGTGTGGCCTTAAGGATACAAGTTGTAGGTTTTTGCAGGATTTTCCCCATAAATTTATGCTTGTATAGGTGGCATACAAGGTTGCTTGTTTCTGGGTTTCTTTCACATGCTTAGCTGGCAGGGGCTGGTTTAAAGATTTTATTTGATTGTGTATAGAAAATGTTTGCGAGAATAAACACAGAAACACTGTTAATGGGACTGTAGGCCCTATTGAGAGATATGTATTTGTATAAATTAACTAAATGTTGATTTGCATAAGGCCTCAAGCTGCAGAGGGTTACAGAGAGGTCTCTAAAGATCCTGTTTTGTCTGTGAAAGCTAGAAATCACAGAATTACAGAATGGTTGAGGCTGGAAGGGACCTTTGGTGATCATTTAGTCCAAACTTCGCTGGCCAGCACTGAAGAGAGTCAGGTCTCAGAAGATGAATTTATTGCTTTATCACAATTAGCCCATGCGTCTCTTCAGAAGTGAACAGACATGGAAGGGTTTCCCTGCCAGGGAAGCTGTTGGACTTGTAATGTGAAGCTGATATGGGAGCAAATATTGTTGCTTTCCCTTCAGACTGCTGCCTCTGTGGGGTTCTGTAGTTCACTTCAAACAGTCTAGAATCTGAGCTGAACTCGGAGGCTTTTCTCTCCATAGAATGCAGGACATCTTCCATTTAATTAAGTTAAAGGCTGCCCCAGCTGTGTGACTTTTTTTTGCCTATATAATGATTTTTAATACCTATTAACAGAAATCAGTGTTTTCTTAAGTCTACTGGATAATTTGAATTAAGAAATTTGACTTTTTTTTTTTTTTTTTCCCCTCCTTCCACCTTTGTTAGTGTCAAATCAATAGTGCCTTGACCTCGTTTCATACGGCTTTGGAACTTGCCACAGACCAGAGGGAGATCCAACACGTCTGCTTATATGAAATAGGTAAATTAGATATCTTTGTTGTAAGTAATTCACTTTGGAGTTTTGGCCAGCAGCTAATAGGCCAGCTTATCTTAATTAGGATTTAAAAGAAGTTTTAAAATACTGGCTGTTGTCTTAATTGGTTGAATTGCATTAATAATCCTGTCTTCTTGTTTGGGAGTGGGTAGCATTTGACAGTTGGATAATTTTAAAACATTTTTTGCCGAATAGCTGGTGCAGAATTATTTAGTAGATTGTGGAACAGAGGACAAACTATTCCTCTATACAAGACTACTTAAAATGAGTGATGAATTAGGTTCATCTGTGGAATTACCATTTTTTTACTTAAAAATGAGTAAGTTTAAGAAGCTTCACAATGTGCAGGATTTCTCTCAATTTCCTCACAGTATTGGCTAAAAGCAACAAATAATGGCATATTCTTTCCAGTAAATGATCTTGATTTGCTTGCAAGTGCTGAACATAGAGATACTCTGCTCTACTTTTAAATGTCTGCAGTGAAGGAGTCTTATCACAGGTTGTCAGAGTTCCGTTGCAAGTTGCAGCATTGTACAAAATATTTTATAAAACATTCTTAGTGTCTGGATCACCTTGTTGATCCAGAATGCGTTTTGTCCTGTGTGGCATCTATAATTCAGCATTTTTGTAGTAAATTTAAACCAAACCTTCAATGTATTTGTGTTTGGTTATGCTTTTATTGTTTTTAACTTTCCAGCTCTTGGCATAGTTGTTGAACTAGCTGCAGCTCTCATGACAACTGTTACGGTTCAGTAATGTTTACACCAGGCTTGAGGTACTGTGCGTGCTCTCTCATGACTTTAAGTTGGTCTCGTTTTCAGGCTGGTGCAGTATGATAGAGATGAATTTCCAAGATGCATTTGAATCTTTTGAAAGGCTTAAAAATGAATCCAGGTGGTCCCAGTGCTACTATGCTTATTTGACAGCAGGTTAGTAATTCAAGGGGATGGGTAAGTGATAAGTACAGTTGTGTGTAATGCTTCAACATGGCTTGTTTTATTTGGGGGAAGCTGCCAGTGCACGTAGTGCTTCCCTTGGTGCTTCCCACATTGCTTCCTTCCTGTGCAGCTCTGGGTCAGAAGTTACTGCATAACTTTATCTATATAAAATACACAGTCTCCATTGCTATGGCTGTTATACGATCGATTGCCAAACTATTTTAACATACTGTCAGCAAATAGTAGATTCCTAGAGTTTGGGCTATATTAGTCTTTAATAGATAGAAAATAAAATATTGATGGATTTGCTACTGCTCTCAAAGGGTGTGTGAGGGAGGGGGATTTGCACTTTCGCCGAGTTCCCTGTCCGGCCCTTTCAGAAGTCGCTGTTTTTTCCCTGTAGTATGACAGCTAACCTTCATTTATCCTCTTCATGTCCCAACACTCTAAAATCTGCTTTTTTGCTTTTGCTTTTTTTCCCCTGTGTTGTTACAGTGTGTCAAGGAGCCACTGGTGATGTCCATGGTGCTCAGAATGTCTTCAAGGAAGTGCAGAAGCTTTTCAAAAGAAAAAACAATCAAATTGAACAATTTTCAGTGAAAAAGGTTTGATTTAGCTGAGGCTGAATTGTTTTAGTACAGTAATTACACTTGGCAATTGCCTTGTATTCTCCACCAGCATTTATTTTTGTACAAACTGTTTTCTTCTATATTGCTTCTGTAGAATTAGAGGGAAAGATTCAGGTGGAAAAACAACAGTGCCATGTATTTTAAGGAACAAATAAATAATATGTGAAAAGCTGTTTGTTTTTCAACTTAACCTAAGTACTTCTTACAGGTACAAACACATTTTGCTGTGGTTACTTCGGAATTTTTCCTTCTAGTTGTGCATTTATTACTCACTTTTATCTTGTTGTATTTTTCAAAACCTTAATATTTTTGAGAGCTAAGAGTTGTCTAGGGAATAGAAACTGTCGGTCGTGCAGATACTGCTGAGCATATGTATGCAGCTCTTATGGTGAAATGTGTAAACATTTGAATTAATTGAAAGATTTTGCTTTGTAGTCCTGAAATCTTTAAACTAAATTACCACTGACTGTATTTTTATAAAATTTTGGGTGCTTTCCTGGAAAAGTTAGAGTTATTATTCATGATATGCTGTTTGTGAGTATTTTATATCCCTTATAAAGAGACAGCTGACAGATCTTCTGCTTTCTTCCTCCCTACTTTGCAGGCAGATAGGTTTAGAAAACAAATGCCAACCAAAGAGCTCTGTGTCTTGGCATCCATCGAGGTGTTGTACTTATGGAAAGCCCTTCCAAACTGTTCCCTCTCCAACCTACAACATATGAGCCAAGGTATGATACAGTCCCTTGGGTTTTGTTGCTGTTGTGGTTTGTCTTTGTTTTGGGAGAAATTTTTAATCTTTTTTTCCAGTTGATTGTAGTAGCTCGAATACTTAAGCCCATCTGCATTCCTAAAATAGGCTACGTAGCAAAAGGAAAACTGATTTCAGTAAGATTTGGCTTAAAACTTTATTTTACTATTTTTGGTAGCCATTGTTCAGAGTCACTAAAGAAAACTCATTTAAATCTAGCTGCAAAATAACAGTAGAACCAATAAAGCTAAATACATATTTTACCTGAAGTGCATCCTTCAAGGTCTCTTACAAAATGGTAAGGATTTTGGTTGGTTGCCCTGGCAGCCTTTGTGGTGACAGGGACGGTTGGGACCTGCCTCTTTCTCAGTCTGCAGAGTCTTTGAATGAGATCTGTCAAATGCAGGTTCTGGTTGCAAGGTGCTTAGCGCTTCTACTGCCCTTATCTCCAGTGATCAGCCTTGGCTGCAGTCTGCAAAGAGCTTCAAGTTATTCGCTGCTCCTCTAGAAAATGACCCTCCCAAAATAGCTGCCACTGCAATGCTTCATTGCTCGTGGTGTTGTGAAACTGGGGGGATTGTACGTGCTGTTAGGCTAGAAACCTGCCTCGCCTTGAAGTCTGGCATCGAGACTGTCTGGCATCAAGACTAGCTGTGGATTTATTTTTTTTTTAATTAACCACGGTTCATTCATTTAGCTTGGTTTTCTAGTCCTGGAAGATAGTGGTGAAGGCTTTAAAATTAGATTTGCTTTGATTAAAAATAGATTTCAGGATGCTTTTTCTATGCTTGTCTCTTGGCTTCAGAGCAGTGTGCTCTAGCGGTAGCAAAGACTCTGTACTTTTATCCCACACTCTCAGAAGCAGTTGAGATCCTTTTTTACCAGATTCCAGCTGGTGGTGCCCAACTTCATGTGAAATAGATAGCAATATTGATGGTGAAAAATCAGAAGTGTAAGACACTGTGCTCAGCCAGAAGTGATGCTTGAAGGTGTTCTGCGTAGGGTGCTCTTGCTGCGGCTCCTACATACCTATCTCAAGAACTGTGAGATTATGACTGGGTGTTTTGTTTTTTTGCCTTTTTTTGAACAATTGAGATACATTCTGGGCATTTTTTTTCAAAGCTTTTCTTTGCTAGAAGATAGCTAGAAGATAACTGGAAAATACAGCTCTAGATTGCAGGAATTAGTTTGTCTCCAAGCTCTACTTTTGTGAGTAAAATGCCAAGCAGCTTGGGACTTGTAATAGATGTGAAAGAATTGACAGCGTTATGTAACATCCAAATACTTAGTACAGCCAACTGTCAGTTATAAACAGGTGGTTTATTTGGGCTGGGGATTGAGCCTGGTTTGAGCGCAGAGCCTGTTTGAATGGGGCAGGATTAATTAGATGAGGCCGAGGGCGGCGCTGAGGCGGCTCTGCCGCTCCCGGCCGCAGCGGTTCGACGCCTCCTGAGGAATGGGAAGCGCTGCAGACCAGGGACTCCCTGGAAGAGCTGGTGCCCGTGAGCGCTTCCCCGGAACGAGCCTCGATCCAGCCGAGCTGGAGCCGAGGAGGCGGCGCAAGCCAGGGCCTCGGTTGGCTGGAGCCGGTCGCTACGTGTCGGGCCGGGAGCACCGTGCGGCCGCGGCTCCGTCTGCCCTCGGGCCTGCGTCCCCCGGCCACCAACAGCCCTGTCCTCTCGGCAGCGCTGACAGGAGCGCTGCCCAAACGGCCGGGCCCGGCCCGGTGGGCCTTTTACATCCAGGACAGACTTCTGTCTGGCGTCCGGCCTCAGTTCAGAGCCAAGCACCTTTCTGTCTCCGTTGGTCATGTGGATATGCTTCCTTTTTTTTTTTGTAGTGGACACCTTATAAATTGGACTGTGTGTTTGGCCTCTGATACCTGGGACAGGCGAGTCACCTGTAACACCAGAGAGAATTGATTGTTTCTTATCTTTTCCTTCTACCGGATCTTTCAAAGTCTCCTCCTCATGAGTGTTGGAGTGATTGATGGGATTCCTGCAAAATAGGATGCATTTAAAAGAAACCAAACTATCATGTTGTGTATGACATCTCTAGCTTTCCTAGGAGTTCTTCTTTCCAATTAAATTTTAGTCACCAGACTAAAGGTCATTGTAGGCCACACTTCTTGTCTAGGGAGGAATTTCAATCCATCTTGTGTTTTTGTTGTTGGTGTTTATTTTATTTTTTTTTTATTAAGCTTGTCAAGATGTTGATGATTCATCTGCGGTTGGTTTGAGGAATCTGCTTCTTGGTGCCATACACAAATGCTTGGGAAATTTTCAAGATGCCGTTCAGGTAAGTATTTTTTCAGTGATAAATTTCCCCATGAATCCTATTTTATGAGCTCTTCTGTAAATATTGTCGAGTAAAAACGTAACATAAACCATTAGTTCTCAGCGCTATTGATAATCCCGCTGTGCAGATTCCAGGGTAACAAGTCATGTGCTCTTCAAGTCATCCACGTTGGCCTCGCTCATTAGGCTTCCGTGTTGTAACAACAAATGTCTACTGTTGTACAAGCACCACCGCTAAAGTGGCCTGTAGCAGTAAGAGTTAAGGGGAAGCTGGGAAGGAAAATGGAGAAATTCTCAAGCTCTGCTAGGTTCTGTTGTCCAAGAAAGAAAACTGAACTTTTAAAAACAATTGGGAGAATTACCTCTGGAAGGCATATGTTGGACTGATCTGGCTCCAGAGCTATTAAGACACTGGGAGGATTGATCACTAGCATATATCAAAGTATAATTTTCCTGTTGCTCTAGGCTTTGATCTGTAGGTGCAGCTTTTTTCTTTATTATTTAATGGAGTTCACATAGGCGAGGGAGCTAGTGCCGACTTTAAATCTTTTTATCTGGCGCTCTCAAACATGTTTGAAATAATCCAGATATATCTAACACTTTTTTTTTCCAGAGATTAATTTAACGAGGAGCTGTAACATCAATTTAAAGTTAAAAAAATCTCTGAAACAATCAGGATGTTGCTTGGTAAAAATGCAAGCAATCTAGTTTTGCCTTGATGGGGTATTGTCTGTAGGAACCTTGGGGTTATTGCTTCAAGGTTCTCCATCGCTGGAAATGAATACATTCATATTTTGGCTTTAGGCTGATTTATAGTGCTTGATGTTGAAAGACGCTTCTGGATTTTGAAGTGATCAACCAGTCTCTTTTAACGTGTTACTGCAATTTTGTTTTTTATCAGTTTTTTCAGCGAGCTGCTAAAGATGAGCTGTGCCGTCAAAACAACTTGTACGTTCAGCCATACGCCTGCTATGAGCTGGGCTGTCTTCTGCTGGACAATCCAGAGGTAAGAGTGTGATGAACTTTAAACTCTTACAGTTGGGTGGGGATTGATAAGGTTAAATAACAGCCGACCTCCAGGCTCTGCAGATGTCTTGGTGGCTGCCGGTGTTGGATGTTCCGGTCTTTGCCCACACGCTGCCGTTTGGGGAACTCGGACCATCCCTGAACTACGGCAGCATGTTGCCGTTCCCCTTCTCAGATGTGTAGGGGCTGCTGCTTGGAGTTCATGTTGTTTCATACTGCTTTGGGGCAGCAGTTGCAGGGTAATGGGAAGTGCCTGGTTTGTTCATTTGTTTTTTACTGTAGTCCCACAGCACTGTATGCAGGTGCTAAAGTGTTTGGGCTGACAGCATCTCCTCCTCTTAGGAGTCTGTTTTCAGTTGTTCTAATCGTGTCAATTCTGAGCTGAACCTTTCCCTTTAAATGGGAAGGAAAGGAGGCCATTTCAAAAGAAGTGGCTATCATGACACAGGATAAAGCTAGAGAAAAGGCTTTTTAAAATAATAATTCATTTTTGAAAGCCTTTATGCTATATGATTTAGAGCAAGACCTTGAAATCTGGTAGGAGGGTCTGAGGGCAGTGTGGCTCCTGCTGCCTTGTTCGATAATGCTTGTGTTGGAATTTGCTGTGCCTCTGAAAACTGTCCTGTTCACAGCACTTGGGGCTGCTGCTATATGGGAGAGGACGATGGTAGTGAAATAGGAGGGGTTCAGTAATTTGGGAAGAAGCCTTCCTTCTCCCTTGCAGCACAGGTGCTTCCCACTCCGTGCTCTGGGGAGTCCTGCAGGAGCCTCTGCTCCTTGCTCGGAGCTGCTGCTCAGAAGCTGGAGTGGCGCCTGGTGCCGGAGCTGAAGGCAGGGAACGCTCCCTCTTGTGGCACTGGGGCTCCGGGCAGGAGAAGCTGCTGCACTTGGGTGCCGAGAGCATCCAAAGCTGCGGCTAGAGACACCTGCCCGGGGGGGCCTGGCAGGTCCGGCACGTGGTCCTTTCCTTCCCTTTTTTTCTTCTTTCCGTAGATGATCCAGCCCGCAAGCTGAGATACCATGCAGGCCATTCTTGAGCTGTGCAGTGATTAAAAGGAGAAGGATTTTTAGGATTTTAAAAGTCGTGTTTAATAGGAGTTTGAAACTGAGCCTTCTGAAACAACTTTTAATGCTTAAAAATAACCCATGTTTTTCAAGGTTTTTTCAAGGCTGTCTGTGGTTAAGAAAGAGAACTTTTGATCAGTTATTTACTTGTTTGCGTTTCTGGGCGTTGTTACCGTCACCGTTGGCACTAGCAGCCTCCACGTCAAGTTTCATTTTCTCCTTTTCTGTAGAAGCCTTAGAAATACGCAGTGAAGCTCATCTCCTTAGTGTTTCTGGTCTTGGAACGTGAGGGATTTTCATGTGCTCAATATCTGGATTTCAAGATAGAGGTGCTATTTCAGACTGACCCAGCCATGTACTTGGCATATTTTCTGTGACATCGGTAATTTGTTTTTAATGCAGTGTTTATCTCTCTCCTGTTTTTTCAGACTGTGCCAAGAGGCAAAACTTTACTTCTCCAAGCTAAGGTAAAAGCCAAGACACTTCCAATGACATTTTTGGGTGAGAAAGGCATCTCAGAGATGTTTAACTCGGGTTTTAACAGTGTTGGTGTCTGTCTGGCGTCTGTCTTACTGGTGTGGAAGTGAGAGCTGGTGGCAGTAGTGGTGTTCATGCATGTTGCAGGTGAGGTGTAGTACAGAGCCACACTAAGAAACCTCGGAGGTATCAGAACCCTGCCAGGTCTTTTAAGAACAAAATTTTAAGAGCAAACTGGACTTCTCCACCTCACCTGTGTTGCCTCTGTTCCTTGGCCCGGACACATTGCACTTCTCGAGAGCTTTTGATCTTACAGAACTTTCCCCAACTCAGTCAACTAAATGGGATCTGAACAGCGGGGTGGAAATAGAGAAGTTTCTACTTAATAGTTGCTACTTAATAAGGAGAAGAAGAAAAACATCTGACGATTCTGTCACTGCGGTGATGCAGGGGCATTAATAACAATCTGCATTCTCCAGGTCACTTGTGTTTCATAGGTTCATAACTTCACTTGTAAAATCATCTTTGCATCCGAGGATGAAGGAGGCTAATAGTTCCATGTTTTTTTTTGTATTTCAGGAAGAATTTACTGGCTATGATTTTGAGAACAGATTGCACGTCCGCATACATGCAGCCTTAGCTTCTCTGAAGGAAGTTGTTCCACAGTGATGGACCGAAAGTCGCGTTATCGTTTCCCACAGTTTCTGCACTTTACGATAAAGCAGAGGATTAAGCTGTTGGGAAGACCAGCTTTTCTTCTGAAAAACCATTTGTGCCAGAGACACTTTGCTAATATGTTCAGAGTTGTTACAGCTTAGTAAAATATCACAATTTTAATTAAAAATAAATCAACCAGGATGAGGGTTAAGTGACCTTGTGTTTTTAACTCTTCAGTTATTATTTTGTTTCAACAAAGCCGAACACAATTACTTGTAACTCTGCAGGTGAGCCTAAATAAGCACACATGTGATTTACTTGGACAATTTTGGCAGTGGTTTTTTTAGTTGTTTTTTTTTGGCTTTTTAATTTTTTTTTTTAACTTTTAAAATACATCTAAATTATGCTCTCTAAGGGGAACAGTATTCTGTTTTGCTTAGAATAATACAATAGAAGTAACAGGTGTAAATGTTGACATTGGAAATGGACCGAACGCTTTTTCTTTGAGGATTAGCCAATACAGTGGGTACAAGGAGAGGAAGCTGTTCAGCTACAAAAAGTAGGAAGTTTTCTTAGGAAATTTTAGGAGGTTATTTCAGTGGCTGGACCATGATGTGTGAATTTTGAAGCTCACATTCCTTCCTTTCTTCGTCCTCCCCACCCGACTCCCGATATAAATTATGTCAATATTTAGGATCTCTGCTTCTGGTACATTCCAGCTAAATATTTCCTTGGATTGACATGCCATTACTGGGGCGGGGGGAGGCAGTTCTTATTTCTGCTCGTAGTATTCCGAATAGCGCATTAAATGACATTGGCCGGATCTTGTAATTTAAGTGACTTCCCCTTCAGGTGGCTGCATCTTCGTGGCAGTGGCCTTTAAAGGTGTTAAGGAACAAACCAACCAAAAGCCTCTTTCACTCCCCCTACCAATAGCACAATATCCTAAATCTCCCAATGGTATTCCAAACCTGTGGTGTTAAGGTACTGAAATACCTCAGGACAGCTTAAACCTTTATGGTGACCATATATTGTGTAATACTTGGCCATATGTGTGCTTGTGCAGTTACGTGTACTTTTGTCTGCAAGACGTGTCCCTCACCGTGTATATTCAGTTAATATTATATGCTAGGAAAGGCAATATTTTTTTAAAGAAACTTATGAATGGAAATCTGGCCAGAAAGTTAGTAGAATTATGTTACTTGGCAAACCGAAGAAAACTGGATTTCCTTGGAAGTAGTTATTGAGAAGCCTTATCTTTACTTTGGTCAGGTTGCCTTAAGCAGTTCCTTAGCTTAAACCGGTTTTCTTTTCTTACCTTTTTGCGGAATATGTTGCCAAAGTTTTAAAGCCTGCCCGCACCTAACCTTCATTGATTTGCTTTTGAGGGTGCATCTAAAGCAAGACTGACATGGAGGAGGAAAGTAATATCCAATATCCTATTTGGTAGGCCGGATGAAAAGGTTGACACACTTCTTGCCCTCCAGAAATACACAACTTCTGCTATGAAAGGCATTCCTAGAGCAGTTGGGCACTTCTTTGGCAGGCCATGAAGGAGGGGAGCAACTAACACTAAAAATACATAAATAAAAATCTATAATCTGGGTACGTTATGGGTAGTAAACTGATTTGTCATTCAGATTTACCAGTAATGTCGAGTCACAAAGGAGTGTTCAATCTAATTTGAAGTGGCCCGTCCAAATGAAGTACTGAATAGGAAACAACATACTGTGTGTATATATATAGTGACTTCTTAGGACTCTAATCATAATTTTAGAAATGGATGTGAAATCTTATTTTGTCCTGTCTGATTTTTATATTCTGCAAACAGAGACGTAGTCCACTCTGGGTAAATAGCTAGGAACAGTTACTGACAAAAATATTAAACACACTGCTTAAACGTAATGCGAGCCTGGGCTGTTGAGGACACTCAGCACCTGCACGCAGTTGGAGCTGGGGTATCTCGGACCCACATGCAGTTGGAGTTGGGGTGTCTCGGGCCCACATGTGTGGGGGTGTTGGCGAGCTGTGGTGAACTGATGGGGCAGCCTGTCCGCTCCAGACCACAAGTGTCAGGGAGACACGAGGTGTCCGTGCGGCTGCCCCGCTCCGGGCAAGCGGCGCTTAGGGAATCATCGTGGAAACGGAGCCGTCGGTGTCCGGATCTTTTCCCCTCAGAGGAGGGTCTCCAGAGTCGTAAATGTGCAAATTCTTTTATTTTTCCACTTAGATTGTGCCTGTGATGAGCGATTAGCTGTATTTTGTGTGGACAGTTACGGGGTTTTTGTTTGTTTTTCTACTTTGGAACTCGGAGGCATGGTCTAATAGCAATAATGGAATATGCATCTTGCTAGTTAATATATTAAGGCTATCTTTCCTGGGTCAGGTATTTTTGTTGATGTTGAAGAAGTTTTTATCTCAATATGACTCATTCTAGATAAATAACTAGAATTTTTAGATGTCACAATATGGCATATTTATTGTGATGTACTGTAAATGTTAATTTACAGAACTTGCACTTTTATATTTCTGAGTAAAATTAAAAAAAATGTGACTATGAGTTTTGTTCCGTTGTTCGTCGAATTTGCCTTTAATTAGCGGCCTCCTGAATGAGATGATCCTAAGGACAGGGAAAACTTCTGGGCTGCCGAGTGACTCTGTGACAAAGTTTTTAGTCAGCAATTACCTCAGCTTTTGTTCTTCCAGCTTAACAACAGTCTCCCGGTTTAGCAAGTGAGTTACATGTGTCATGTTGAGATCAACTGTAGAATGAACAAGATCTAACATACGCTCTTAAGACATGAAATTTTCTTGCTTCTCATTTTAAAAAGAGGAAAAACGAAAAATGTATTCTCTGTATCTGTACACCTCTGCAATGCTTCTGACTTACTCTAAAGCGAGCACTTTAGTTTCTCCTGTCGCTGACTTTGAATGCCTGTTTCATATTCTAGTTATGCTTTATTCTTAAATAAAATTCCCCAAATCTTATCCTGAATTGCTTTTCCATTTACAGCAGTCTGGTCCTTTACTCAACAATTGATCGTTGTTTAAAATTGTAACCGTTTGAAATATGAAAGGGGAGGAAATGTTATATGGGTAAAACATGGTGTTGGGAGGACACGCATAAAACCCATCAAAGTGCTGGAAAGAGGGCAGCCTGTAACGGGTGCTTGAATTCTCTTTTCCACTCACAACGACAAGGTGTTCTTATGAACAGTGGTGGCAATAACTTGCATGACAAAATAGTTGCAATCATAAAGAAGTGTTCCCAAAAGTAATCTTGTTAAGTAGATTTATGTTTAGCTGTCTTTAAAGGCCACTGGGCAGCAGTGACATGAGACCAACGTGCCTGGAGGCCCTGGAACAGAAGGGACCTCTGCTGAACTCCAACCGTAAGGAATTAGCTACCGATACATTGCCTATAATTCCTCAGCCTCAAGTAGCTGTACGGCAGGACGTTTTGTGTTAAATTTAGAGTTCTGAAATGAAGTGCAGGTGGCAGCTAGCAGGCTGCTGCTTGCAGTTGGAGGAGATGCCTGCACCGTGCTGCTGCTTTCTGATGTCTTGAGCGAGCTAGAAAATGCTTCAAGAACTCGTCTCTGTGTCGAGACCTCTTTGTGTTCTTGGGCGTAGGTCAGCCTTTCACGGCAGGATCGGGAGCTCTCTCCAGGAGCAAGCACGTCCTTGTTCCGCTTCATTGTGAACAAAAACAGTGAAAATACCTGAAAAGTATTCAGTAAAGCTGAAATACTCTTTACAGAGGTTCAGAATAACCTAAGAATTTGCTGGCATTACGCTGTGTTAGCCATATCTTTATATAAGGGCCTTGATTTATGCTGGAGCAAACTCTTGAATGAAACCGGTCACTGTATAGGAGGTACTATAGAGAAAAAAAAAAGGCCATTTTTTTGGCACTGTGTGTTGCAAATGTGTAGTCTACCTGAACTTTGTAGCTAGTGCAGTGGTGCTGTTATTAATGATAGCAGAAAGTGATTTTTCTGATGCTTATATTCTCAAGGTAGTCTCCCGTGATGGAGTTGCATGTGCTTCTCTCTCTGTGCAGCTTCCCTCGCAGCTCTGCAGCGCGTGGCTGCCGTTGCCTGCGTGTGCGGGGTGCTTGCAGAGACCACCACGTACCCACAGGGTGGAGGAAGGTGCACTGGAAGGGTCCAGTCCCTCTGCAGTTCCAAACCTGGAGCTGTCCAGCTTTGCTTTTCACACTGCTTCCTCTAGTAGGTTGTAGTCCTGCTCTGTCAAATGCTCTGTTCCTTGCCGTGTCTCTGTGTAGCAGGAGAGTGCCCCGCTCACCTCTGGTGCTCTTTCACATAACCAGCACAAACAAGGCATTAATGGTCAGCATGAGACAGTCTTCCCACAGCTGAATAACGAGTGGCTTCAGTTTTCACAGTCTTTTTCTAAGCTTGGTCTGCCAAAAGCCTGTACCCCAGAGCAGCTCAGTGTTGTAGGTGGTATTGCAGTTCACGTTGCCTTCATGCTTCTCCTCAGCACCTCTTTGCTCACGCACCCAAGTCCTGCATAACCCATCCCAGCCCCGCGATCGTGCTGTGTGTTTATGTGCAGTGGGCTCGTTGCCCCCAGTTTATTTTTGGTCAGTTGTTGGTTTTTCGGAGATGCTGTTTATCTTGTGCTGAGCATGTTCAGCATCGTTACCAAGTGACCTACGTAATGCTGCGCTGTCCTTGGTGTTTTCCAGCTGTTTGGCTGCCTGTGCTTTATCTATGCATCCAGAAAAGCTTCCCGATGAGGAGCTCCTTTGTGTTGAGTGTGCGAGAGAGAGCTTGCTAGACTCAGTTGTAAATTATTTAAATAACAAACGCCTACTAGTGCCTTAAGAGCAGTATGTTTATCATAGTGAAAGATAATGGTACTCCTGGGATATGTGTTTTTCCCCACAGGCGTCACTTACAGCAAGGGTGGGAACTAGGGGCAAGGCACAGACAGGGCACCCTAAGCAAAAGCAGTGTTTGGCAGCCGGGTAGGAACAGCCAGAAAGCTTCCTTGAACTGGGAGAAACTCCTACTTGGGATTCAATTAAAGTTTTGTCACCACGACAAGGCGACGGCCTCGCAGGGCAGGCTGCTCCCAGGCAGCGGCCTCTCCGCATTGGCCACAAAGCGGCGGCTGCTTTTTATTTACTACACGAATCCAGTTGCTCTAGTGCTGTCTTGCTGGTGTGGTTCCCGTGGTGCCGTGACGGGAACTCCTCTCCAAAGAGCCCTGCAGAAATGGCACTCGAGTTCTGGTGCAGGGAGCAAATTTCGCACCCTCACTTTGCTGCCTGCTGCACTTCAGCTTCAGACAGACTGCTGACAGGGGCTGGGGCCTCTTTAAACCCTTCAGGAGGTGTATGCTTGTGTTCACTCGGCTCTAATAATTTTTCCTTGTTTTATAATGTCTTTGCTTCACGTTTTTTCAAACTTTTGCTGGACAGAACTTTGCAGACTTGAAATTTTGGAAGCTTTCAAAAAAGACAAGTTCATAAGCTCTCCTCTGATCTGTCTATATTCCTGGATGGTTTCAAGGCAACCACAATTTTCTTTATATACAGGTATGTTTAACGTGTTTAAGTCCTATTGCTTCTGCCAGACAGAAATACAGACTTGCAGTTGCTGTCCTATTGTACATTTTTTAAATCCTTATGTATATTCTCAAAGTACGACTTCTGTTGCACAAAAGCTTTTTTTCCTTATCTGGTAAATCATAGCATAATCTCATTTAACTTCATTCTTTTTGTAGTGTGGTCTGTATTTATAGAATCACGGAATTGTTATGGTTGGAAACAGCCTTCGAGATCATCAAGTCCAGTCATAAGCCCTTCAACACCACGCTGCTGCCCACGGCTGAAGAGCTCTTTCCACAGGTTTTCTTAACAAGAAATAATTCCTGAGGCATCTTTCCTGGAAGAAACATGTCTTGGTGAGTTTTCTGTCTACAGACTCTGGTAAATTAAGTTTGTGTGGCGTGTGGATGAGGTGGGGTTGTTTTTGTTGTTGTTTTTGTTTTCTCCAACGAATGTTGCCCGCAGGCATCTCCTGTGACTGTCGGCCCCCATGAGCTTTGTAAACTGGGCAGTAGCAAACTAGACCGAAACCCAGCAGCCTTGGGAATGGACATTTTACAGTAACTTTTTCCTGCTTGTGCTGGTGTACCATGACATGATTTTGTACACACCCTCGTGCTAGATGGAGAGGCCCCCAGTGGGGCTGTTTTTGCGGGCACGTGTCAAAGGCTGTCAGTGGCGCAAACGCCCGGGGCTGTTCGGCCGTTAGCGCCGCCGCGGCCGTTAGCGGCCACAGGGCGGAGGCGGCCCGGGCGCGGCTCCTATTGGCCCGCGGCCCCGCCGCGCGCGCGCATCACGCACTCCCATTGGCCGCCTCGCAGGGCGGCGCCCCGCCCTGGCCTCTGTGACGCGCGGGGCCCGGCTATAAAAGGGGGGCGGCGGGGGCGGCGCCCGGAGGCCGCGGCAAGGGGCGAGGCGAAGGTGGGGTGGGGGCGGCTCCCGTCGCGGCTTCGCTCCCCGTTCCCGCTCCCCGATCCCGCTCCCGACTCCGTTCCCGCTCCCGCCCGTCTCTGAGGTGGTTTGTGTTGCTCTTGTTGCAGTTGAGAAACCCTAATCCGACTTCAGCGGAGGAAGATGCATTCCTCACGGGCCAGGTTCATGGCTCCCTACGGCCTGAAGACCCTGCTGGGGGGACTGAGCAGAGCTGCCTTCAGCGCCAACCCCAACAACATCCCGAGCTTCGCGGCACTCTATTTCCAAGAGCTCGTCGCCTTCCGCGAAGGTCGGCGCCTCGCGCGATGGCTCCGGGGTCCGTGCGGCACCCGAGCCGCCAGCCCCGGCCTCACTTGTGCTTCCGCTTCCAGGGAATCCCGATCTGGATTTAACGGAGCTGGTTGAAGAGTTTCGTTTCGTCATTGGTAAGGGAGCCGTTTCCATGGGGTGGAGGCCGCGCGGGCCCCGCTGCTCCGCGCGCTCGGTCGCGGAGCACCGAGGTGCCCGGGGCGGCAGAGCTAAACCTCACCCGCGTGTCCGTGTGCTCCCGCCCTGCAGACGGCTGGAACGAGAGGCTGCCTCAGAGCCTCAACGCACAAGACGCGTCGGTCCTCGGGGAGCCCAAGCAGAAGGAGAAGTGCACGGACACGGAGGAGGACCAGCTCCTCCGTGGCGCCGACACCGAGTGCACCTCCAAGATGACCCAGTACCCGTCGACGCACGACGACGTCGTCGGAAACAAATCTCCCCCCGGAGCTGACGACGCTTCGTCCCCCAAGGGACCGGAACTCGCATACGTGCCCGCAGACCCTGCCCAGCTGGCTACCCAGATGTTAGGTAACGCTGATTCCGTTTATTCTGTGAAGGATGTGGCCACGAGCGTGCAGACTCTTCCCGAAGTCTCCCTGAGCTCGGAGAACGTAATGGCGGTAGTGGCGGGTGCAGCTGAAGACGATGCCGCTGCGGAGGCCGCTAGGGCGGCAGCGGGCGAGCGCGCGCCGCCGGCCGAGGCGGCAGCACTAGGGCCCTCAGACAGCCAGGCTGAAGTCGCAGCAGTCGATGCCAAGGGAGTGTCCTCAGCCCCCCCGCAGGAAGAACCATCACCACCACCTCCTGCGCCGCCGCCAGCGCCGCCGCCTCGCGTTCCGTTGCGGGCCGTGTCCGCCCCCGAGGGGCACGCGCAGGAGCGCCCGCCGCTCCCGCAGCGCTCTGCTCACCTCCTCCTCTCCCTGGGCCACATAGCTTATCTGGTAAAGATTGAGCGGCTCTTAAGTGCAGGCCAGTTCTCACGTGCTAAAATCGTAGGTCCATCTGCCGATGACGTAGTGTGTGACAGTGAGAAAGCGGAACCCCCAGCAGAAATGGCCTCTGCTGAACAAGGTAATGCCAGGTCAGGTAAGAAAGCCCGGGTCTCTCTGACCGCCTCCTCGTAGAGCCCTAGGGTTGTGTCAGGGATGGTTAAATGCAAAGGCCTTCGCGTCAGAGCAGCCACGGCTGGAGGGGACGTGTTAGGACCCTCCTGTGCCGACGCCGGCCGCCCGGCCCCAACGCACCCCTGTTAGATCCCTCTGCCATCCGTTCCAGGGGCTGTGGCCGGCTCCGAGCGGGGCTCCAGCGGCTCCTGCAGACGGGAGCGCGGGGGAAGTGCCCCTGAGCATCCCGCTCGGAGCCAGCCCGGTGCCCTGGAGCGGCTGCCAGAGACGAGGGTGTAACAGGGGTGCGCGGGGGCTGTGGAGCGGTGGGCGCCGGGAGCCTGGCCGCGCGGCCGCCCCTCGCCCGGCCGCGCGGTGCCCGCGCGCGGGGGCCTTTGCAGTTAGCCCTGGTGGTGGTGGTGGTTGCCTGCCTGGCTGTCTGGGGGGTTCCTGCAGCTGCGCTGGGCGGGCAGCGAGCGGCAGGCGCTTCCTGCGCCCGTGGGAGCCTGTGCTGGGCACGGGGCGCCAGCCCTGCCCAGCTGCAGAACCCCCCGGGGAGCTGCCCCGTGCGGCTCCCTGGTGGCTCTGGGCCCGCAGGGGGGTGGGTGCCAGCGCCGCGGGACAGCCGCCCAACGGCAGGGCAGCGCCGGCTCTGGGAACAACGGCCCCTGTTGGGGGCAGTTGGACAGACCCCGTTTCAGAGGGGCCCGTCCTCCAAGGGCGGCCGAGCGGTGCTGCCCGCCCGGCTGCCCCGCGGTGCTGGCGCCGGCAGCGCGGGCGGCGCGGGGGGCGCAGGGCTTGGCGCGCCTCGGGCACTGCTCCTCACACCAGCCCTCTCGCCTTCTTATCGTTGTAGCCATGGCAGCAAGCGAAGCGGGACAGCCACCACCCCACTCTAATGTGTGGACCCTCTATTGCCTAACTGACTTGAGCCAAGGGCAAAAATCGCCACCATCCCTTCCTCCTCCTGCTGCTCCGGGCCTTGCCTATTCCCAGCAGCAGTTCCTGCAGCCAGTGCCACTCCAGGCTCCACCACCACAACTGTCCTCTCCAACATACGTGATGCCGGAAGAAAGCAAGAGGGGCAGCGCTCCGCCTTTCATTTTGGTGGGCTCCACGGTGCAGAGCGCCCCGGACTGGAGCGCCGCCCTTCCCGGCCCGGTGGCGCCGGCCCCGCCGGACGCCCGGCGCTTTGCGACTATCCCGGTGCCGGTGGCCAGGCCGGCCGAGCAGGCGGCGCCCAAGGCCGTGCCGGAGGCGGCGCGGCCGCCCACGCCGCTCTACCTCTCGGTCGCCATCCCTCTGGATGACGTGGTGGCTGCCCGGAAGGGCGCCCCGGGTGCTGACAAGGCCGCGGCCGGGCCCCCCTTTGCGGGGAGCTATGGCATTGCGGGGCAGATCACGGTCACCTCCAGCTCGGTGCACCAGGCAGGGTCATGAGGAGGTAAGTTGGGGGCGCTGCCCCCCTGGGTGTCCGGCGCCTCACGTGGCTGCTGCAGAGCGAGGTTCAGGGCCGGGGGCTGAAGCCCTCGGGGCCCTTGTCCCCTGCCTGCCCCTCGCAGCGAGCAGGCCAGGGGCGAGCACCCCTTGCGGCGCCCCCTGAGCCCCCCTGCACAGCAGCCCCAACGCTCAGGATCCCTGGAGTGCGGCAGGTCCTTGCAGGGACATGTTCTGAGGGGCGGGCGTGAACATGTACTGCCTGCTGACACCCTGCCTGCTCTTTCTCCCCACAGGTTGAGAAGAGGCTATTGGGACTTCAGCGGGAGTGGAATTTACATCTTAAAAATATCAAATAACTTAAAGCAAGTGCTCAGAATTAAAGGCCAGCAATCGGAACCCACTCCCTGCCTGCTGTGGTGCCTTGGGCTTCTGGGAGGGCACCAGAGGCAAAGGTCCCACTGCCCTGCGCTGCGCTCATCCCATCCCGCCCCACGATTCCAAGGCCATGAAGCCACTTGAGGCCAGGGTGACAGCCAGAGGCAGCCCCTGCTGCTGGGTGCTGCTCTGGGAAGGAGCCCAGGCTGGAGATGCCAGGAGAGAGAGAGAGAGACACATTTCCAAGCTGGGGAGGGAAATGTGAGGATGCAGCCTTAGGCTTCTCAGGGAAGACAGTTGAGGCTATGCTTCAAGGAGGGGGGGGGTTAAGACAGTGATCTTAATCTTGCCTTTGGGGATTTCAGAACTATACTGTGATCAGTGCATTAGGCCAGGCCCCTGACCTAGGGCTTGATGTGGGAAGAACATCTCTCAAAGTTCTCGTAAAGCACATGTCCCTCCACTGAAGGCAGGCAGCGCTCACGGGGTGGAGGCCGCGCTGGGCACTGGGCAGCTGGGCTGGGATCCCTGACGGGATGGGAATCCCGGCTGCTGCTGCGGGAGGCCTGAGGGCGGCAGCGAGGAGCCAGCGCAGGGCCCGGCTCCGACTGCTGCCTTCCACCTCTGCAGACCACGGAAGGAGCCCCCCTGCTCCAGGAGCTACTGGCTCCAGCAGCACATGGGATGGGAGGAGGAAGCAGCTCCCACCTGGGCACCACTTCCACCCCTCTGGGCTCAAGGAGCTGTCCTGGGCACTGAGGAAGGCACCATTGACCTCCTGCAGCAGCGGGAGGCCCCTGAGCCACGGCAGAGCCGCGAGACGTCGCTGCTGCCGCTGCCGCTTTGGGGCCGGCGCCACCAACAACCACTTTACACTCGATGCAAGAAGTTTTGAAGCCTTTATTTAGTAGCGATTAAATTACTCAATTAACACTAACCTCCAGACAGCAGTTAAAATACCGTACAAGGAGCAGCCGGCCCTCGAGAGGCTCCGTACACAGCTCCCTCCAGCCCCGTCCGGCACAGAGCGCGGCCCCGGAGCAGGGCAGGAACCGTGGGAGCTGCTCCGGGCGCTGCTCCAGGTGACCCCACATCCCACCCCGGGCCGAGGCCCTTTGGGCCAGTCCGTGTCGGGCACCGGCGCTGCTGGCGCCGCACAGATTCCCTGGCCCTGGGGCTCCCAGTGTGCGCATCCAGTCAGGCAGGGAACTACTCCCACGGCTCCCACTTCCATGCAGCCGAAAGGAGAGCGAAAGAGAGACCGCGCTGCACAAATCGTGGAACCAACCTCCGAGAAAATCACACCAGCTTCAACAGCTCCGTGAATGGGCCGGAGATGGGAACTCCCGGCCTCCCTCCGAGCGCAGCTCAGGTAGTTACTTTAATAAAAGTCACTTTATGAAAAATTACATCTTTACAAAAGTGACACACCTTTCTGCTGTGAGCACAGAACATTCCCCTCGCTGTGGGTGCTTCCGAACAGTCAGTCCCGTATCACAATAAATAAAACCAGTCTCACTCGTGCCCGTGTTACCTACGAAAGAAAGTATTCACAGAGCAGCTCAAGGGGCTCTACTCCGCGTACACCCCAACCTAATATAGGTGTAGTCAGCAAACAGGGCAGCACTAAGCGTGGCCACTCGCAGCTTCTGTCCATGCAGGACCCACCGTCAGCCAGAACCGGGTTCCCCTCCATCAGGGGCTGCAGCTCAGGGACCACCAGCTGTACTGGGGAGAAGCTTAACAGTCTGTTGGGTAACTTGTCATTTGTCTCAGGAGATAAGTAAAACAAGGGAAAACATTAAAACAGATTAAGACTTATGTTTATCAGCCACGGGCTCCTTATTGCATTTTAATAAATATCAGGCAAGTTAAAGTAGTTTCTGTCCCAGTAGTTGCCAGAATAAAGCCAGTCCTGTGTGCCCGTGTAGGGATTGGGGCCTTGATGGAACCACCTGCAAGAAAAGGAGAACAGGCAGGATATGAGTCGAGTGCCTTCCCGTGCTACGGAGTTCAGAACTGCTTTGCTCCAGCCTCGCTGGCTGCTGCTCAAACGAGGAGCGTGAGGGCAGCCCACCCTGAATTTGCAAGGGAATTTCTAGCCACGTTGGGTGGTTACGGCCTCCCCTTCCTCCAGACCCCGAGGGCCTCCCGGGGAGCTGCGACGCGGGGCAGCGAGGGCTGTCGCGCAGAGGCCGCCCGCGGCGCCGCTCAAAGCAGTTGTGAACAGCACTGCCCAGGCAGCGGCAGCAGCAGCCCCGCTCGGCAAGGCACAGCAAGAGCACACGCAAGCAGAGCACACCCCTGCCCCTGGGTCCGGCCACACCGCGCTCGCAGAGCGGAGCCGCTCTGCGCGGGACGCTGCGATGCTCCCGCAGGCTCCTCCTCACGGCCACCAACCGTGTCTCACCGCGCTGGCCCGGCCTCGGCTGCGCCTCCGCCGCCCCGTGCCCGGCCCCGCTGCCCGTGGCCTGTTTGCCACCCGCTGCTGCTGCCAACCCGCTCGCTGCAGCCTCCCGCAGGCCGCGCTGCCCCTTCTAACCCAAACCCTGCCTGCCAGGACAACCCCCCAGAACAGAAACTACCGCAAAGCAGTGTCAAAAACGACTCGGTATCTTTAGGAAGCAACCCCCTGAAAGTCCACGTCTTGTTTGCTTCAGAAGACTGGGATGTGTTCAGCCAGCGACGCTACTGCTATGTGCACTGGGATGAACCCACGGGCGAGACACCTCCGCGGCGCCGTGGGGCTGGGGGGGTGTGGAAGCCCAGCGCACGGCAGCGCCCGCCCCGGGCGGCAGTGACGCTTCTGCCCCCCATCCCACGCAAAGCCCCAGGGCGCTGCGCGGGATGCACCGCCCCGGGCACCCTCAGCCCAGCGCACAGGCACGGGCGGCCTGCTGCACTGCGGCCGCGCGCCTACCGGCCCCAGGGGCAGCCCCACGGGTACCTGTCCCTAGGGAAGCGGCCACGCGGGTGCCGGCCCCAGGGAAGCGGCTGTGCGGGTAGCCAGGCTCAAGGAGGGGCCATGCCGGGTACCTCGCCCAGGTACAGCCGCACAGGAACCGGCCGCAGGGAAGCAGCCACGCGGGCTCCAGCCCCAGGGAAGCAGCCCCGCGGGCTCCAGCCCCAGGGAGGCGTCTTGGCTCCCGGCGCTGCCGCTCAGGGAAGGCCGCTCCGCTGCCCAGCCGCGTCTGCCTGCGGGGAAGGGCAGCTGGGCCAAGAACGGAGAGAGGCGGCGAGGGCCGGAGCGGCCCCGGGAGCAGCCAGGCCAGGCCGGCCGGTGCTCCCACAGCCTCCCAGCTCCTGCCGGGCTCTAACTACTGCCCAGCCTCCGCGTAACTCGCCAGGCGCAGTGCGAAACACTCCAGCAACACCTCGATCCCATCTCTACAGCCTAAAAATCTATAAAAAATGCCAAAATAATTTAAAAAATCCAACAGCAGGCACTCTGGAGACCTGCACCGTGGGAGGGAGGAACTCTGCTCGAGAGCGAGGCGCACGCTTTCCCTGGCAAGGAAACCTGCATTACAGTTAGTTTGTAACGCTGAGCTCGCACTGCAGGGCCCAGGAAGAACTCGCGGAGCTTCCCTTCACAGCCTGATTATGTTTCCCGCACAGTTCTTCCTGTTTCCATGGAAGGTAACTGTTCCCGCCTCCTCTACCGCATCCTTCCGGAGGACTCACACAGCTTCCGTGCTAAGGACATCAGGCACAGGGGAGCTGCCGTCCCAGCTTCAGAAAGACCCTGGAAAACAGGGAGTTCTGAAGAACCCCGGGAGCGGGGCAGGCACTAAGGGAGCGCCCCGGGAGGCGCCATGGGCACTGAGACACGAGGGGCTTCCTTTGACGCCCCTGGCTTGGGACGCGAGCCGGGAACAAGCTGGCAGGGCTCTGAAACCAGGGAAGCGGGAGGGGGGCCCAGGCGGATCAGCGCGGCGGAGGCGGGAGGCTCCGGCCAGGGTCACTCCGCGCCAGGCTGGGGCAAACACACGCACGCGGTTCGGGAGGGCAAGCACAGGGAAGGACACCAAGGCACACACATCCAAACCTGGGGCTCTGAGCTGCAGGGTGACTTCATTTGGAAAAAAAGAAAAAAGTGGTTTATAGTTACAAAAAGGCATCATAAAGACATTTAATCCATAGTGCTTGGGTGTATTAATAACAAGTTAACAGGGAAGACAAAGCTGCTGTGAACCAAGCTATCAATCTGCTGTTAGGCATTTATTGCCAGTTTTGTAATGTTTTACTGAGTTTCTATTTACTTTTCTAGTATTTAAGTGTCCCCAACTTTCTTCCCTCATCTTTCAAACAAAAGTTCTGGCAAAACTCTTACAAGCTAATTTTCCCCTTAGCATTTTTTAATTTTGTAGTTGGTTCCTCCTCTAAGGGAAAGGGGGAAACTGCTTGGCTCTCTGGGCAAAAAAGCCATTTCACCAGCTCTGAAAACAACCTGCGCAGTGGGAACACAGGATTAGCAGGACACACCTACCCGGACCTGGGAAGTCACGGGCAACAAGCTATCGATTTCCTTGCAGGAATCATGTCCTCCTCCCCTCAGCCCGGCACACAAATTGAGGTCAATTACAAATTAATCAGCAGCAACAAGATTCCTCACAAGGAGTTAT